TATATGGACAAACTCTCATGGTGCAGAATTTTCTGCAGGTAAGGATCTGCATTTGCTGCATTCATCCATGGATGTGCATGTTAAATTGTAAATGAAAAGATATCCTTATTTATTTTACTTCTGCCACACTCTAGCAACTCTTAACATCTTTCAAGCTATCTAAACAAAAATTAAAACATATACAATACAGTTAAAACCAATCAATCCAATTGTAACAACTGTGTGGGTAACCACAAAGAACCCCACATAAAAACATAATGATGCAAAAACAACAATAGCAAAGAACAAGAAACAGAAAGCAAGACAGCATCACATATAAACTGAAGGAAAGGCCCTCCAAAACAACTCAGCTCTTAAACATTTTCAGAAATCCAAAAGGAGGAGCCAGCCTGATCTCCATCTTCAGGAAGGTGTTCCCAAAACCTGGTGCTTCTAGAAAAGGCGTGCCATCCAACCTCAGACAGCCTTTCCATATTATTCAGAAATGTGGGATTACAAGAAGTTCATCCCTATGAATTCTATCTCTATCCTATTACCCAGTTAAGATTTTGTCATCAATTGCTCTACATGTGATGTATCACTTTACAGGAAGACCATCAAAGCCAGAAGATCAACTCAGCCTCGTAGTCTAAAACTAGAACACAACTGTGTGTATACTCTATCTTTATTGTATGGTTACATTAACGCAATCTTGCAAAACAAGATTTTCCCCATCTGGAAAACAAGGGAAGGTCCCTTCTGAAATGCTTCCTATGCCTCCTCTGCTGTGGGCTGAGACATCTTTAGATGCCTGTTGTCCAGATAGTGGCTCTTCCTCCTGTCTCCCGAGATCATTCTCACACACCATTTCAACCACTGCAGTCCTACTGAAAAAGTTTCCAAAGTTCTCCATGTAAATCTTTCAAATGGATATATAGGGTACAGTGCAGGAAACAGGACTGTAAAGGCCACGCTTCTCAGAAGGATTTGCCAAAGTGGAAAAAATACAGAAAATGCAAGATTACAAGTTCTTTCACTGCAGTATTACAGATAGTCAAGAAGTGAAGCACAGTTCATGGGAGCAACTGGCAAACCCGATATACCACACTGTGAAAACATGTATAAAGAATGTTTAGGGTTAATCTTTTCACACACATATCAAATAGATAACTTATCTTAAATATTCTTTTAACATACCAAATAAATGCTTGCACAATTAATCCTTTTTTCCTCTATTCAATCATGTCCACTTCTTGGAGATTGCCTGCACAATACCCTGCAGTTTTCTTGGCAACGTTTTTCAGAAGTGGTTTGCCATTGCCTCCTTCCTAGGGCTGAGTGAGAAGGACTAGCCGAAGGTCACCAGGTTGGTTTTGTACCTAAGGCAGTACTAAAACTCTCAGTTTCCCAGTTTCCAGTGGATGCCTTAACCACTACACCAAACTGGCTCTCTAGATTCTACATTTAATTATAATCTGTGATAACTAGAAGGTCACTGAATATTAATGCAGAAACTAATAAGCAACAACTTACAAGTCATCACTGTCTGGGCTCACACAATAATCTAAATCAGCAAACAAGATTATGACTTGATACAATGTGGGAATCTGCTCCACATACATACATTAGAGTACTTAACCTTGTTCTCCAGTTGTAATAGTTTCACAACAAGGCTCTTACTGTTTTTCCTCTTGGCTACACTCCATTCTTCACCAACCTATTGCCCTATGGAAAGGATTCCAACATGCTTCAATGCCCTTTCTAATTCTTGATTTTTTTAAAAAAATCAGTACAACTTCTTAGCAGAATTCCTAAAGGAAGGGCTGTGCAGGGTATATGAATCTGGTCCACATACATATATTAGAGGGATTAACCTTAAAAATATATGTGGCAAAATATCTCCGAAATATCAAATCCTGTGGAAATTCAGAATTCAGTGATATTCACTAAATGTGACAGCTTCAAGAAAACTACCAAGCTCAGAGAGCACCAAGGACCCCTTTTACTCTTGCTTGGAGTCCCATTCTTAAAACTCCTCTACTTAAAGAACTATAACTTTTCTCTGTTCTTAAGCAACTTAAAAAGGAGAAACTACAGGCACTCAACTGGAAAATGCAATGAATTGTAAAAGTGAAACCAAGTGGCTGTTCAGGCATGTTTTATAGAAAAAGCAGCTTTGCGATTCATCTCCTTGGATGATAAAAAAAAAATTATAACCCAGTGAGAGTGGCAAACCAGCTATACAGGTATCACCCACCACACAAAAACATATTGCTAAGGTGAAGGATGTTTCAAAGGCTATTTCAGAAGCATGCAGAGACACAAAGATTTCACACATACTATCAAATCATCAGGTTAGGATGGCAATATGTATTAGTTTCAGGCATCCACAGAGAATTGTTTCACTCTCCACTGACTCCCTCAAAGAAGGACAGAATCTCACTACTCTTAGTGATCCTCCAAAACAGTTACAAATAACCACAAAGTTTGGCTTATTTTTATTCTCATACAAAATAATGGACACAACAGATGGAAGTTAGAATTAAAATCTGTGTTGGCTTAGAGCTCCTGACTCTTGCAACACAATTAGATGTTATACACTGAACTTCATTAAAAATATTTTTCTTTTTAAAAATGCAACAATCCAAACCATTTCAATGTCACCAAAGCTGAAGAAATGTTACTCTCCCCAATCCAAATGTTATTATTACTTTAATAGCCAGATATAATAGAAAAAAAGTTTCTATTTTTTTGTAAAGACAAACATTCTTTTTATAAAGAGGCATCAAGCCCAAGGAAGTGGTTTTCCTGTTAGATAAGCTTCCCTTTTTAACAGGACAACACAGAAAGGAATAGTTCCTATATCTTTCCTTTAAACTGCAGAATGAATAGAAGGTAGATTGGGATCTACTCATAATTTTTTGAGCAATTTGCAGTAGATGAGCAATGATTTCTGGCTCTTGTTTCTAAGCAACAAAAATAATAAACCATTACTTATCCCCATAAATTTTACATCAACTAATCAAATTTTACATTATAGGAAAAGATTGAGAAGTCTGTCCAGTGCTGAAAATTAAAACAAAATGTATGGTCATATAAATTTATAACAGATTCTAGTTGGTGAATATTAGTGTTATATGAAACACAACATAAGTTATGTCCTGTAAACTTTAACTTTGCTAATGCTTACATTAGGATATAAGGCCAGAATTTAGGTTCTTAACTTTCTTATCAGCAACTTCAGGAATCTGACAATTCAATACAATTACACTCCCTTTTGATCCTACAATGGCTGTTATAGCATTATTCAAAATTCCTTAGCCAACATTTTCCCTTTGTTTCTCTACTAGGAAAAGCAGCATTGTCCTTCTCTCCTAAATATAATAAAAGGTCACAGAACACCATTACACCATTTCCTGGTAGTGCTGTGAAACTGCTTCAAAACATTGCAGGGGGAAAATTCAACTAAGCAGACCCTTTGACTCTTCTCCAACACAAACCTTTGGAGTTTGCAAACACAATTCTTAACAGCATATAGTGCTGTCCTTACCTTTTTCCAGAAAGTTGCCACTCACCTTCTGTTAATCCAGAGTGGCATATATTTCCCAAAAGTTATCGTGTTTATTTCATTTTTGTGACCTGAATACTTGTATTCTGAGTTTAGCTTTGTGCATTAGATTTCCAACTTACCTTTTAAATCCAAATATTTATTTAAAATCCTAACTATAATCCTCAAGACTCAAATATCAATATAGATACATTTTAATTGAAATATTTTGGTAAACTCAGAAACAGGTTTGAAGAATAGATTGCTTTGACAGCAACAAGATGTAGTCTTTGAATCTTATTTTACTGACAGCATGTGTGAAGCAGTTGCCTTCCTAGTTCAGGACTGTATCAGAACATTATGAATTCAAGTACCTCTTGAATTCACACCACTGTGCAGTCTACAGTCACCACCACCATCACCCCACCAAATTATTCTTCACATAAATAGATATTGTTTAGGATCAGCAAGCTTCCCTACAAGACTCAACACAAAACAAATAAGCACAAAACTGCAAAATTGCTCCACAAAACTGCAAAATTGGCTATGATGGACAGTCAGAGCAATCATTCAGCATCATATTCTTATTTGACACAAGAACAGGTAATGCTTGAAGCCTGAGCCAATGCTATTAATCGTCACTACAACAGGATAAAAAGAGTCCTACTGAATCAGACCATGCCTATTGGAACAAAAACCTCTCATTTTAGTAGCAACTAGAAGCCAGTTGGAAATCAACAAGTGGAACCTGAGAATAGCTCTTTCTTCGAGAAATTGGCATTGCCACCTCATGGAAGATAAATGTGGTCACCACAACTACTGGTGATTAGAAGCTTTCTTTTGGGTGAATTCTCTTCACCTTTTCATTTGCCATCTACATGAGTGGCCATCAACCCCATCTTGTGGGTGGAATTCACTCATTTAACTATGAGTTCTGGGAAGAGCTACTTTTTCAGATAGACTAATTAGCAACAGTCTTGTTATAATAAAGCATCAACCAGGCATCCTATCACTCAAGTTATTATTTAAGAGGAACTACAGGAAAAACAGAAAGGAGGATCTGCCTCAACCTTCAAGAATATTCCAACCATCCACCAGCCATTCTATGGGCATCAGTTTACCATTCTGTTTTTCACGTTTTGGGAAGTTACGCGTGCTCAAGCCGGATTTGCCATTCCTTGGCTTTCTTCAGGATTGAGGGTCGAAGAAGTTTCTCCTCGATCCTCCCGATGAAAGATCCCCACGGGAAAGGAAGGGGGCCAGATAAACTGTCTCCGCAAAACAACTGAGGATCCCTCGGGTTTGAGCGCCGCAGGAAAGCAGAGCCTGCCCTCCACGAGAAGCACCGGTCAAAATGCCCCGCCAGCCTCTGAAGGAAAAGCCAGAAAGTCCTCCCGTTCCGAGTTAGGCAAACAACCCTTCAAGTTAAACAGGAAGCTCGATAGCAGGACAGTTCCCGCGTTTCTCCACTCACCGACTTCCATCGCTGCCCTGCTCCCACGGAATTCCCTCTCGAGCTCCTGCAGCCGCCGCCGCCGCCGCTGGCAACTTCGCAAGAACCTAGCAGAGCGGCTCTCCGAAGTTGACACATTTGGGCAGGGCCCTATTGGCTAGCGCTTCCGTCGCTCCGACGCCAGGCCCCGCCCATCCCTTCTTCGGCTGGTATACAACTGCGCCCCCTCTTGTCTGCTCTCCTACCCCACCCCACCCCCCAAGTACACGTGGGCGCGACTTTGGACAGTTGTGGCTGGTTTTGCCGGGCGCTTTTGGCCATGTGCTACACCCAGCCGTTCAGCCCCGGGGTGGAAGGAAGGATGGCTGGCAACAGATGTCTGAAATATGCCGTCAGAGCTCCCTTCGGCAAAAAAAGGAAAAAAAGAAAGAGAAAGAAAGAAAGAAAGAAAGAAAGAAAGAAAGAAAGAAAGAAAGAAAGAAAGAAAGAAAGCCAAATGAACAAACGAAACGCGAGGCGCCTTCCCAAGCAACAGAACTTAGGCTTGTTGTGCCGCGGCTTTGGCTGTTCTTCAGAGGCCCGTCTATATAACCTCGTTGCTGGCCGTCTTGGATGTGCGCGCGTCGCATCGCGCAGATAGCACAAACGTTCAGGCCGTTGTACCTTCGCGTGTGCAGAGGCTGCCGTTTTTCGTTATGAAAGAACTGGGCAACCCTAGTTTTTCAGCAGCGGGGCCAAGCCAATTACTTTGAAATTAACTTGGATACCGTGGGATCGTTCAGACGGACATTCACAGATGGATGTAAAAACTGGATCAAAAGGGATAGGAAGATGTGAAACAATATGAAGTTGTATTTGGTGTTAGGCTTTTTCTTTTAAAACACCTCAAGGATCCTCTTTGAATAACCACTAGCCAACTTTACACAACTCATGGATAATTGTGATTATGTAGATCCCCTAACAGCCAAAATGTATCACAACTTTCAATTGTGAGGCCAGTGCCTTGTATATTGCTAGAACAAACATAAAATCAAGAATTCTTGGAGGGATAAGTTGTTTTGTTTCTAGGATCAATCACTTGGGAATACTAGTTGCTGGATCACAAGCAAGAGAGTTGTTTCTGCCTCCATGTCAGCCTTGCAGCGCTCTCAAAGTGATTGCCCACTTTGGGGATCAAAGTCTTTTAGAGAGACCTTTGGCCTAATCCAGCCTAAATATTTTCCTTTCCTCCTGTTTTCAGGAGATAACTCAAATTGCCCTTCTTACTGATACATCTCCCTGTCTGATGACAGCTTTCACAGCTGGAGAGGATCCCTGAAGGCTTGACACCAGTGAGATGGTAGATAAATGCAATGAAGAAAGGTCCTGTAACATCCCAAGTCATCTTTTAAAAAGAAACAAAACTGGGATTTTTTTTCAAAGTCATGATTATCTCAGGGAAAAAAGATAACAATGCTAAGCTATTGATGGTTCTTCCAAATATTACTTTATCCCAGACCGGATGCAACTCTTAAGGCAGAAGGCAAAATGAATGTTTGCATTTGTTGCCAAAGCTGAATTTCTCAATGCAATGTTGTCACTGGAAGTCACTTGATTTTTTTCCTTACGCCCACAGAAGACACACCTGCAGAATAATCACCCACTGAGCACTTCTCCTCAGCTGCTGTAATGGCATAGTGCCCACCCACTCACCCACTGCAACATAGGAGAATCAAGTGTTTCACCATTGCAGCTGAAAAGCTGTGAGAGACTTTGGTCTGGCAAATCCTTTCACCTTTTCTCACATTCACACGTTAGAACTGTAGCGATGTAGTGTCATTTCATTCAGATCAGCAAATGGGAGAATGTTAAAACAAATGGCTGCAAGCTGTTGTTTACACTTGAACATTAAGAAAGGAGAATGGCTATTTAGAGCAATAATGTGAGATGTTGTGGCATACTGCAAAAACACATGACTAATTTACAGGGTCTTCTTCCTGAGTTATGGCTAAATTTCAATAGAATTCAAAACGACAAAGTTCTGGGGATACAAACTTCACGTCAGAGGTTGGATGGTGGGGTTATTCTGTTCAATAACTAGGCTAAATCTGAGAAAGAAAGTGATCCACTCAGTATACTGGGCTCTGTTGAAAGAGAGACATGTTCAAATTGGTAATACTGGTAATGATATTTCCTAGAGAATATCCTATATCATCATAGTGATATATTTCAAATGAATAAATGCTGATTTTTTCCCCCATGTATACAAACTAATAAAGTTTCTGAGTAGTCCCAATGTTTTTAGTCTGCCCCTCCCCCCCAATAGTTGAACGCAATTGTTCTGCCAATTTTGTTTTAGCTTGAGACTATCTCTTGTCATTATCCAAATAGTAAAGTATGAATGGAATATGCAGGTAGAATGGACTTGATTGCTGAGGAGCATGTTAGCAGGACTTTGCTGCTTTCCTAGAGTCCTGAACTGCATTTCTCATAAACTTGAAAACTGATCTGTGTAATATGGATACAACTTGAGGAATAGTCAGTCTCTCACTGTGACACAATACATAGGTAAGGGTCTAGATTCGGTATGGTGATCAATGATCATGAGCTATGCAGGATTAGCATATGGCTAATGTTCAATTGTTTTGCCCTTGGACTCTAAATTAAAATGAAACTTGCTTTATTATATACCAGGTGCTCAAGACATTTTTCAAAACTTAATATAATGACACTAATTACAACCAAAATTTGAAATCGTAACACTAGTGATGGAAACATAAACTCTCTTCTTGAAATCCAGGGGACTAAAAATTTCCTTTCCTGAAGTTATCTTGTTTTAAACTTATCAGTACTGTATGGGTTTTTAAATGCTATCAATATTATTGGGGTTTATGTGTACTTATGTGTAGATGTGTAACTATTATAATTTGCATGTTATTTATTTAAATTTAATGGCCACTCAATTCCAGTGGATATCTTCTAAAGCCCAGGTATCATCCAACATCAACAAGTATTTTGAATCTTTGTAACAAGATTTGGTTGCAAGCTAGTTTGGTATAGAGGTTAAGGCATCAGTCTAGAAATCAGAGAAATCATGACTTCAAGTCCCACCTTAGGAAAAAAACCAACTGGGTGACCTTGGGCTAGTCAGTCTTTCAAGCCTAGAAAGACAATGGCAAATCATTTCTGAAAAACCTTGCTTGGAAAACTACAGGAACTTGTCCAGACACTCTCAGAATCATACACAGTTGAGCAGAAAAAGAAAAGAATTCAGTAGATGGCGACAGACCTACTATAGTATAATGGGATAACTATGAAGTAATAATGAATCAAGATTTTTGTCATCTTAATGCCTAGTATAGCAATTGCTGTATTAAATAGCTCCATATGCATGACACTGTATGGTAATCCTTTATGAATGATTATCCAAATCAGATACACTTTTCTGTCTTGTTAAATTAGTTAATCTCAATGCCAGATGTTTTCCATATTTATGAAATATCAGCAGTTATGTTGATGTGGTCCGAGTTGCCTCAGTTTCAACTGAATTAAGTATTCAGAATTTTTAAGCAAAACAGAAAATGTCTGTATATCTGAGGTAGTACTTGACTGATTTTATTTTTGCCTAATCACATACAGATTTGTACTTCGTAGATTAGAATATCATTTAGAAGAGGCTGGCTATTGGACCATTAAAACTGGAAATTTAAATGAATTTATATGAAAGAACAGACTGTTGATCCCTGATTCGAACTTTTTATTTCCCAATAGGCTAAATATTTTAGTTATATAGCTGCTCTTACACCTTATACTTCAATGTTGCCTTGAACATGCATGGAAATCTACTGCTTTAACAGTCAATATCCTAGTCCCGAGAGTTAGTAGAATACAGCGGTTAAGGCATCAGGCTAGAACAGACCTGTACATTTTACAGCCTGTGGGCCACACCTGGTCCTTTCACTGTCCCTGTTCAGACCATAGCATCGGTGGTGTCAATGCCAGAGGGCAGGGCAGCGTCAGGGGCAGGGCAATGTTTGGGGGGGGGGGTGGGCAGGACGGCATTGACAGCCTTCCAAAACAATCCCGGTTTTTCATGTGGCCTCTTGGGAAAATTAATTGTCTACCCCTGGGCTAGAAACTGGAAGGCTGTGAGTTCTAGTCCTGCCTGAGTCATGATGTCAGCTGCATAGTTTTAGGTAGGGCATTCTCTCTTGGCCTAGGAAGAAGGCAAACTACTTCTGCAAAAGGTTGCCTAGAAAACTACATGGATTTGTTGCCAGAAATCAAGTCTGAATTAAAAATGAAAGACCTCCATCTTTGTGGCTGACATCTCTTGGTCACCCAGATTTTTACTGCCCAGCAGATAGCCTTGGAAATGATTCTAGGTACATCATGGTCAATAGTTCTAAATGGACAGATTCATTATCTGGAGAGGGAAAAAGACCTGTGAGAAAACCTATTTGGGGGAGGAATCTCTCGTAAGGGTATCTGGTTAGGAATAGATTTGGATGAATTAAAATGAAGATTTAAATACTAAATCTTCTCAGCGGCATGAAGAGGCTGTGTTGAGGTCCAGAACAACTGGAAGGCCAAATGTTTCCTGTTCTTTTTTTAGAAATAGGGTTGTACTTTGTATCTATATTTACATGCTTTTCCTATGTCAGTTCTAAACCTAAAAGTCCTCTAGCATGGTTTCAAGTAACTACTGTATTCTTCTTTAACCCTTTTATGCAAAGAACAACTTTTTATTAGGAGAGCTGTGAGTATAAACCCAGGAATCCAGGGCAGTTGGCCTGCTGGTTTTGATGACAACTATGCCCAAGGCAGCTGAGCAAAATAAAGATCTAGCTGTCGGATTAGAGCTGGAAGTTGCAGGATCTTCCTTCTCCAGACAGAGAGTTTTTACTACCGCAACAAAATAGTCTTTGTTGAGCATTTTCCAGCTGGATCTTGGGCCAGTCACAGTCTCTCAATTCTAGAAAGGAGGCGGTGGCAAACTTCTGGGGAAAAAAATATTGCCAAGAAAACTGCAGGGACTAATCAAGGCAATTGTCAAGAGTCAACAAATATTGAAAGGCACCAAAACAAAAAAACAAGAGCTGAGGGGAG